AAATCCATCGAGTAGTTTACGAGTTATGAAAATTGAACTAAAAGTAGATGTAATCTTAAGCCCATCCTAAATAAAATTTTGCAAGATCTTCTTGTCATAATGTTTTTAAAATGCTGTAAGAAAAGTCTGGAATAATTTTTTCGCCGGCATTAACACATATAATATCTACAGGATGTCGGACCTCGTATTTTCTCGTAACCCTAACTCTATATCTATATCGATTAGTTTTAGGTGATAAAAACAACCGTTAGCTGAACAAAACTTTTATACTCTGTAGCAACATGTTGACTTTTATTTGTTGAGAGAGATTTAATGAAATACTTTTTTTTACTATTTTCGATTAAATTGTTTTAAAATTATTTCCTCGCATCTTAATAGTAGGCTATACTTTTAGCCAAGTATGAAAACATATATAAATAACATGGCATCCATCAAATACCCAATACGGTTAAATGGTAACTATTCAGCTCTCCTAAAGCTAAAAATATAACTTGTATTAGAGAATTCTTTAAAAAAGTAATACGAAATTCTTAAAAATTCTAACATCAATATTAATTTAGTATGCAGGATTTGTAGCAAAAGGGTAAACGAAAATAAATCTTCAATATTTGGCTTTTATAGCTACCACATTTGAATATATTGGCAGGGCTTAAAATCCCTGCACAATCTCAGACAATCGAAAAATCTTTGGTAAATTATAGAAATAATACCCCTGTGACTGTGTATGTATGGTGTATATATGCAATATTTTACGCAAACAAATGAAACCCAGAATAATTGCTTCATAGTAAATATTACTTAGTCTTTGATCTTAACCTTTTCAGACATGCCAACTGCTCAAATGGATTTTTCTGATGATTTGTATTTCTTTCATTAAGTCTTTAGCTGTATATTAACACATCCTTATATATGTTACGCTAAAACTTCCTTTTTTTATTTTATTGCTCGTTCTTTCCAATTTACGTGTTTATATATGTACATACACATGTTTGGTCTCAAATGTGTTATTTTTTTCTCAGAACTGTAGCGTAACACAACTTTTTTATCTTGTGCGTTAAGTATTGAAATATTGTTCATGTGTTTTATTTTTCTTATTGCAGCCTTGAGAAACCATTGAAGACTACTGCATGATTTTTTATGGATCGTGCGAATAAGAAATATAACCTCAAACTTAGAATTATTGCCACCATAATCTCAAGATATACTCGTTTTACCCTGAACAGGGTATATTAAGTTTGCCACGAAGTTTGTACCTTATACAATATATATATATCGTTATATTGTATATATATTGTATATATATATATATATATATTATAGTTACATTTTCACAACGGGCCAACAGTAACAGAACTTATGGCAGGAATAAGTATATACGAGTATGGCATATGCATATTTGTATTTTTTAACAACAAAGCGAGTGTGTAAAGTAGTGGCGAATCCAAAGCGCTTATTATTGAATATATTTGCCATTTATAAGCGTTTTTTTTTACTATTTTTAAAATATCGTAGGCACAGATTTTTATTAATAACAATATCAAACTTTTATAGTTTGTTGTAAAAACGTCTATCAAAAGTAGTATTTATTTATAATAGCCTATAAAGTAATTATATTTATTTGTAAATATTAATGTTTAGTAAATTAATTATTTTATGGTGCAGTTTTAAAAATATTATAGGCTAGTAAATTATTTATTTTTCTTAGTAATAAATTCCTCAGCATTTTGTTGATATTTTAACAAGTTAGGATTACATTACATAAATACATATGTACATACGTTTAATTACTTCAAAGTGCAAAGGGGCTTTAATTAACAAAAAACAAGTTAGGTTTAAATAACATAAAGACATAAGTACTTTAGTTTAATTACTTCAAAATGTAAAGGGCCTTTAATTAACAAAAAATAATAATAATATATAAAGTAATCTCCACTTAGGGCAGTTAGTAAGGCCTCTTAATGACTAGTAAAATGTTATTGCATTAAATCAACTGCGCAGATCCTTAACGGTGGTGTAAAAAAATTGCATTGAAAACATTGAAAAATCGATTTTTTGTTTTGCATACACATACAAGTATATCGAATGCACATATCCTAAAATTTGATAAGTGTTGTTCTCGATTGTTTCCAAAGTCGGTGAGAAAAATTTCTCGGAAATGGCAGAACCGATCGACTTAAAATTTTAAAGGTAATTTTTTAAATGTCAGGCAATGATAGAATTAATAAAATTTTAGATAATAATTTTGATTTCTAAGCCACTTCAAAGTGTAATTTTTTGTTTTACAAAATCGCTATTTTGTCAAAAATCAAACTTTTAACTAGTTCTCCGATCATTATCTGTATTTATCATGTCATATTATGTAGTAGTAAATTTTTGTGATTTTTGAACTTGGATTTTCCTCAACGTCAGACACCTTTTGTTTGCCGGTTGTTTTGGAGATCAACTACATTCAGTGTTTCACCAAGACAAGTCTCTACAAAATTTATATCTGTCAGGTAAGTTTTAGAAATATTAATATTCGAGCCTTTTAAGGTACAAAGAAATATATTTAAGTCAGAGAGCCATTGAGTAACACGGCAAGTCTTTTCCAATACCAACAGAACACGGTTTCGAACGACAAATAATTTTAACTAATCTTAAAGAGTTTATTTGGCAATTAAGCAAAAAAAAAAAATGACAATCTAACAATAAGTAGTTATAAATATAATAATGCTTTAATTACTGTGCCATTTCTTTTTACTCCAAATTTCTTTGACACCGAATTTTAATGCGATAAGCTATTTTATTTATGCGCTGTGCTGACATTTTGAACTTCAGGCAAGCAGACGACATAACTTAGCTGTTTTGTTTTGTTTTAGTTGCGACTGCGCCAAATTCAAGCTAATTGCTAAGCGAATAAAATTTCGGGAATCTCTACGTATTCATATATAAACATGTAAATACATAATTACCTCACAGTGGTAGCGTGTTGTTCCCCAAGGGTTAAAACGTGTTACTTCATAAGCGAATGACTGATAATAATGAAAAATATTAAACTAGTGAATCAGCTGTATCGTCAGTAAATATTGTGGCAGTGGGTGAATTGTGTGCTAGAATGTAACTTTATATACGGTGAGAATGAGACATCGTCGAACAAAACTTAAAGCGCGTTATTCTCGACTGTTTTCAAAGTCGGTATATAAGTATAATTCATTTAAGAAGTGTACAAAAAGATATCGAATTTGAATAGATATTTAAAACGTAAAAAAAAAGTTTCAGTCTTGCAACACTTTGAAAAATGTCTAATGGTCATGTTTGAAATGGCTACAAGTGGAAAAATTACTAATACATGTGATCAAGTATGACCCGAACTAACTTCACGACCTTTACCTAATGCTTTGTGTCACTCAAATACTTATGTTCAGGGTTAAGTAGATTACCCAAAGCACTTTTACAACATATTCAAAGATTTCGTAGCCGTCATTGGAATTCAATTAAAGTTCAAGCAACGAGTTTTAAGTTCTTCGTATGGTAACAATCGCCAGGCAAGCTTTCAGCGTCGTTAGCAAAAAGAAATTAAACAACATTTATCGAGGACCAAATGAAATGCACCGAACAATTTTTATATGAAGGAGCAGCAGTTAATCCATATTTCGGATGTATACCATTTGCATTTGAAAAAATGTATTCAAACTAATGGAAAAGTGTATTAATCAACTGCAAGGAAAATTAACGGCAACACTTGTAAGTGAAATAAATATATATTTAGTCAGGAAAAAAGTCTTCCTCTTTCTTTTTAGTAAAGTTACTCTTATCGAAACTTAAAACTCCAATCAAAGTTCAAAGTCACCCCTATTGGAGTCAGAGCATTCCGATGGGTTCAAAATTGCTTTGTCCAGGCAAAATTATGGTTATATAAGGTTCTATAATATAAAGAGAAGTTTTTGAGTGAAGAGTTTTTGTATTTCTAAGAACTAAGTTATTTTAGCCATTAAAAAGGTTCTCATTCTTTTGTTTGAGTAAAGTTACATTTATCAAGTCATCACAAAGCTCACATTATAATTGCTAAAAATATTCGTAAAGCACTGGAATACCTATCATCCAGAGGGCTTAAAAACTTTTTTCGAGCATTGATTAAAAAAAAGCAGCATTGTAATACAGATTTAAAAAAAAAAATTTTTTATTCCAATTCATTCGATATTTAAAATATCTTAAGCTGGTCGATTTCCTTATGATGTCACACCTTTTATTTTTGGCGTAAGAACTAAATACTGTAGAAAACCCGTTATTTCCTGAACAGAACCGAAATGTGTTTTTTTAATACGCTGAACAGGGTAGATCTAGCTTGCTTATAAAGTATATATAAATAAATGATCAGCGAAATGAGCTGTGTCGATTCAACGATGTTCGTCTGTACATCTGTATATACGCTACCTATACCCTAAGGTTTCGAGAGATCGACCTGAAATTTTGCACACATCCTTTTCTCGTCAAGAAGACATATGGGCCTGAATTGCCGATATCGGACTACAATAGCACATACAAGTAGCTGCTATACAAACTGATCGATCCAAATCGAGTCCATGTATTGAAAACTTTTTTTTTGTTTATCAAAAAGCGTGTTTTATCGAAAAGTAAATAAAAATTAATGCCTAATTTTATATAAGATACACATTTGGAAAATAAAATCCGAAAAAGCACAAAATTTAGCAAATTTATGCGCCCACCACTCTTTGCTGCTTCATTACATTCTAGTTTTGTACAGCACACAAATTTCCTAAGTTTCCATATGCTGTACAAATAAACCGCGCGTTGACAGCTCGGCAGACACCAGTGACCATTGGTGGCGACACCTTGAACCTCACACAACGCCAAACGGTCGCTGAACCAATTAAGTGCCGCTTTAAAGAGCATTCGAGTATAGACTAAAGTAGGCTCACTGCCCTGTCAACGAATCAAACAACAACACATACACACACATATATATATATGCACACATAACTGAAAGTAGTTGCACTTACCGCAGCATAAGCGTGTATTTGCTATTTTTTGTTGCTTTTTTGCGCGCCAAAATAATCAGTGCCAATAAATTGCCAATAACGCCGAGCAACAGCACAATGCCGCTGAATAAGAAGCGGCGTCGATTGTGATAGAGCGCCAACGGTTGAGCCACAATGCTGGGCGCTGCAGTCGAGCTGACATTCCAGGCAAAATCGCCGGCCGCTGTCACAGCCTCGGTATCGAGCGAAATCAAAGATAGAACGCTGGTATTCGACATATCAGTTATTTGTAATAGTTATTATTATTATGTGTTGTTATTGTTTTTGTTTTATTTCTTTTGTGTTTGTATGCTATTTGTATAGTTTTTGTTTATTTATAACATTTTTGTTTTTGCTTGTCTGACAAAAATGCGCCGCAAAAGCAGATGTGTCTGTTCTCAACCGGGCGTATACTTAATATATAGTTTACTCTCACTTAAATTGCTTTTAAAAAATTGTGTACATTAATCGTTGTTGGCGTTATATTGGTTTTTGCTTGGCAACAACAACAAAGTATACCGACGCAAAACACAAACCGTTCAACGGCGGTGAACGATTACCTTTGCGCCAACGGAGAAAATATTAATTCACAACAATTTAATTGTTGTTGTTGTTAAATATCTTTATCTAGTTTTTTCTGTATTTTTCTGCAAATTGTATTTAATTTTTCTACAATTATATTTTTTTAATTTTTTCTAGTTTGTATGTTATTTTTTTCTGTTTTTATTTTAGTTGCTGTTTTTTTTTTTAATTACATTAGTTGTTGTTATTGCTATTGCGCATAAAACATTCAAATCCACTTAAATGCCAAATAGCTTAAAAATAATTTATTAGCTGTTTTATCGAAGCAGCTGCTAATGTTGCGTTGCACTGTTGGAAGCTACTGGTGCAAGCAAAAGTAAACAAGTTTCGAATTACTTTTCTGCTGCGTTTGGGTTTTTCTAAGTCAAAATAAAAACATCTTAAGCCAATTGCACTAAATTATTTCTCAAACTGATTTGTATATGCTTATATATTTATAAGTAAGCAGTCCGACTCAACTTTTTGATTTCGAAATTTTTTCTTTAATTTTTAAAATAAATATTTTTCCAATTTTCACCAATAAAAAATTTTCAATAATTAAAAAATCAAAATTTGCATTTTTCCAAATATATTATATTTATTTTTACGCAACAAAAACTTCAACTTTGCCTAAACGCACCTCAAATGCTTGTTGTAAACAATTCACTTAAACTGCTGTGTTTTGCGCACTTGAAATTTTTTACAACCAATCGTTAGCGCGGCTCGTGGCGTACTGTCCGAGCGTGTGCCACTGGAATGCCGTAACTGCCGGTAGCGGTAAGCATTAAAGCTGCTGGAGCTAATGCGACAGCAACAGCGATAACAGCAACGCCGAACGCGAACGCAGCGCCAACTTGATGCCGAAATGTTCAGACGAAGCTCAGCCAACAGTGATAACGTGTACGAGCGCGTGGTTGTGAAGCGAAGTTGCTGCGCTGCTTGGACGCTCGTGTTGTGCCGCTGGCGTTGACGTCGATTACTATGTATTGTGGTGAGACAATGTTTTGTTGCTTTTGTTGTAATTTTGCCGGTAGTGTCACGAGGTGTGTTCCCTCAATTATAATTAATATTCACTTTGTAGTCGCAATTGCCACGAGAATTATAAAACTTATAGTTATTTTTGAGATAATGAATTTTATGTAACCAAGAATATAATAGAAGATGGAAGACTCGATTTATTATGTTCTACTTTTCGTTGATTTTGGCCGAGCTAAAATATTCAACAGTTCAAAATATCTGCTAAGGTTTACTGCGTTCTTTCCGGCGTAGAGTAAATCTTTTTTGTTCAGTAGACATGACCTAACTAAGTGCTAAGAAGTTCGGCATAGTCACGGTATCCACTTCCAGAAACTTGCGAATACTGAGTTATTAATAAAATTCCTTACTAGTTCTTCTTCCCATACTCTCCTTATCTTCTTCTTGATTAAACCTTTAAATTTAGCTGAGCCACCATTAGCGCTTTAGATGTTTCTTGGTTTAACAGGTTTGCACCAATTCCAAAATCAAGTGAAGAAAAGTCATTCACTACTTTCTTTCTCTTTTACTAACAGAATTATTGTATATCGAAGGAATCGACCTAGAAGACCAAGGAATATAATGTAGCCCCTGAGAACGGTTCTCTTTGTCAAAGTCATAAATGTTAAAATAAAACTATTTCACGTTGCTATGGGATAGTATATTAACACATGCATGAAAAAAGATTTATGAAGTGTTAGTATTGTTCATCCAGGAATCTGCTTTCAAAAGTATATGGTTTTAAAACCTCCTCCTTGTTTTCCCCGCAGTTTTAAAGAGAGGCAGATTTTGAGTGAAAAACGAGTACGCTTCACGAACAAACTGAATAAAGGCCCTTAGACTCATTTTGACTCGTCATCAGTAAGAGGTATGATGAATGTAGGCTTCTCAGCTACATGTCTAGCATGTCTTTTGTGACCTCTACTCGATTTCATTTCTGCAAAAGATTCAGTTATTTTTGTACAAGTCTAGCATCTTGAAACGCTTCATAACTAAAACATTAACCAAAATGTGTTGAGTCGATCCATAAGAGAAATTAAGAACCGCTGCTATCTTTTTATACTCTCGCAACCTGTTGCTACAGAGTATAATAGTTTTGTTCACCTAACGGTTGTTTGTATCACCTAAAACTAATCGAGTTAGATATAGGGTTATAGGTATATATAAATGATCAGGATGAAGAGACGAGTTGAAATCCGGTGACTGTCTGTCCGTACGTCCGTCCGTCCGTGCAAGCTCTAACTTGAGTAAAAATTGAGATATACTTAGTAGACATGTTTCTTGGTACCGTGAGACGGTTGCTATTGCAGATGGGCGTAATCGGACCACTGCCACGCCAACAAAACGCCAGAGACATTAAATTTTATCTCTGGGATGGTATGAGATGACTTTATAGGAACCGCGTTCAAAATTAGACAGTGGGCGTGCCACTGCCCACTTTTAGGTGAAAACCCATATCTTGAGATCTGCTTAACCAATGTCAAAAAAATTTGGTACATAACGTTATTTTCAAATTCCTATGTTATAGTGCGAAAATGGGTGAAATCGGATTACAACCACGCCTACTTCCCATATAACACCATTTTAAATACTATTTGATTCTTTCACTTTCCAGTATGCATATCAAGCAACAATGATTGTATCGGGGTGAAACTTTGCGTGAATAATGCTGTGTTTAAAGTATGCCACCTTGTGACCAAAAATTGTCTAAATCGAACCAAAATTGTTCAAGCCCCTAAGTACTAAATATGTGGACCCCAGTGCCTATAGTTGACCTTCTACCGAAAATATCAGTCAATCCACAAAGAAATCTCAAACGAGTAAACCATTTGACTTTGCGAGAGTACAAAATGTTTGGTTACATCCGAACTTAGCCCTTCCTTACTTGTTGGATACTAATGTCATTAATAGAGGTAGTTGGACGACTCGCATGAGGCTAGCTTTCGACGACTTCACGGCCTTCACTAGGTGCTTATCTGCTATTATTAACAAGGTTTTAGGTTGCATCTACGGTGAAGGCTGAAATCACTGCAGCAGTGGAGAACCTGTTTTTGTTGCTGCCATCGGAAATATTAATTATTTAATTTCTTTCTTCAAATTTCATAACAATTAATACAGTTGATTTTTAAAATCCCCTTTTTTAAGCTGTCAGACTATGTTTTCCTCTTAACAATGAATATGTTATTTTCGAGACTCATAAAGACCTCCATATTTTAACCAATTTTCACAAAATATTTAATTTCAGAACAAAAAAAAATTCTGACACAAGCATTCGAAGTGTGACGTCTTCTGCTCCTAGTCTACACTTTCCTAATAAGGTTCACTTGAATATGTTTATATTTGTACAGTTATTTGTATAAATCTCTTGACCACATTGCTTCGTGCATAAATTTTGACAGCTTTCAGCTTTTTATGAACGTCCAATTTGTCGCTGTTGATATAAAAACACAGTAAAAACAGTAGTTTTGCCAAACAAGCGCCAGACAAAAGAGCAAAAATCGACAGAAAAAGTGTGCAGAGAAAAGGCCGGTCGGCCGGCAAATTTGTGAGCTCATTTATATTTAGAAGCGTGTGCAATCATTGATATGCGTCAGTATTTACATACCTACAATAAAAGTGCGTAATATTTCATTCATATGAAAGCACACAAATATTAACGAATATACATACATATGTAGTTATATATCAATATTTCCAGCAATTCGCTTATGCCTGTAAGATACAAGCGTTGTGTAAGTGTAGGCGTTTATCTTAATTTCATTTGATATTTGAGCCTATTTATGTTCTCGCAGTGTGCGACACGACTGCGTGTAACCCATTTCGAACCCTTGTCAATGTTGTCCATGTTAACTGTGGGTAATATGTGGTTGTGGCTTTTTGCTGTCACTGCTGCCGTTGATGGTTTGCTATAGAAGCTAATTAATAGAAATTATTTTAGAAATGTATGCTTATAAATACCATGTACACTCCTATAGGTGAGAAAGCTTAATTCTGATAAATAAGGTCAGCCACGGACTAGGTTTTCTTGCAACAAACCTCAGAAGCAATACTAAATGCGCTTAAATTCATATCCAACGCCATTTTTTTTGTATAGACGTGACATAAACGTCTACTGCTATGCTATGAAAGGTTTTGACGAGATCTTGTGGGGAAATTTAGTATTCGGAACTTATACTAGTAGGTGTGTTGCCTTTTCAGCGCCGGTTTTTACGCTCAAGAATTTAGAAGGTAAAAAGCTTTTAACGGAATAATTGGCTCTATAGATGTTTAAAAATCCCTTCCGCTCAATACAAATTCCATATTCAAATCAGTACAATCCGATTTTTTGTTAGAATATTGGTACAATGTCCACGACAGTCGCACCTATATAGGCTATATAGCCGGATCAATAATCAGATATTCGGTCGAACCTTTCCATGGCTGGATCACTATGTCGAAATCCTTCTGATCAAATTTGATCCGGACAGCCTAAAAACACGCATTTATACTACACCACATTAATTGTATTTTAATACAAATCGTTATTAGCTATATTCCTCGTCGTTCTTGCAAACATTTTAGCTCTTTTGGCACGAATATAGCATTGAATCGCTACATAACCAAAACATTAACCAAAACGGATTGAATCGATCCATAAAAGAGTTTGATATTTTTTTGATGTCAACACGACCATTTTCATGCATTGTTTTTTAACCTTTTTCGATATAACCGCCATTAACAAAGGCGGATGGACGACACGCATGAGACTAGTTTCATTCAATTTACCAATAGAGAGGACGTGATTTTGACAGCTCGAGGCGGCCATATTTGTTTACTGATTTGTGTAAAATCAGTGCATTCAGTAGAGTTTGTCATTTCATCATGCCACGTTTAACTTTGGTACAACGCTTGGAAATTGTTTAAGATTAATACGCAAATTCACGTTCGTGGAGTTCCAATCTGGGAAAAAATGTTTGTCGATTTGGTTTGCATGCGGATTTTAAATAGATAATCCGGATCATTTTTGATGAGATGGCCTAAATATTACAAGTTAGAGTAGCACAATGGTAGACTTCACTTAATTTCTCCAAGGGTTGATCAACCTCTTTACAGCATTACAGAAACAGTACATATTTCGTTCCATTGATTTTGTTTGATGAAAAAAGCTTTTCGATGTATTTTTTGGGGGTGGTTATCGATATTAGAAAGGAACGCATGAACTACTCGGAAACAATGATGTAACCTAATACTCAGTTATCGGTACAGTCTACCGATGAATGTGAATAAGATGGTAAAACATCTACGCCAAAGTTATTTTCTTATAATGAACTCAGTAATTTAATACGTGATTAAGTTACTTGTAGAAAATATCCGAACTTTGTGGGAAAAGAAGTAGATTTTATCAAAGTTATGTCTGTTCTGGAAAGTAATCGTTAAAAAGTTTTGTGTTGATAGTCGAATATTACCTTAGGTATGCATTAATTACCAAATTATGAACAAGTTGTGCAAAACTATGCGGAAATACTGTCAGAATGTAGGAGCAAATTTGCGTATCAAGTTGGATAGTTTTGGAAATTAATGTGAGTAACAGATAGGGCGGATCCTGATTGAATCTAAAAGTGATGGCAGAATGATATCAAATATCGTCATGGTTGAGATCGTCATTTGATGGCAGATTCGTACTGGTTCCTAAAAAGAGTTTGTCACCTGGAAAACTGTAAAAGAAAAGCTGTTTTCGACCCTGGTCTCTTTGTTTACTTCGA